AGGCCAAGCCTCAGGAAATGGGTCGAAGATCTCAGAATCTGAACATGAGCCAGTGGTCGACATGGGGGAATTCAGAGATTGGGGAGTCTGCAATCTCTGATTAGTTGTTACTGTCTTGTACAATATTGGAAACAAATTTAACCAATATGGCAAACAGGAGAAAACCATAAGGCTTATTACACAAACATGTATATTATACATTTTGTAGGTTTTCTGACCTAATCATTATCCAAATTGATCTAACTTTAACTTTAACTTTTAACTGTCATACAATTATTAGATATTTGAAATCTACAAAACCTACCAAAAAATACTTTTCTCAGGTCAAGTTGAAAATACACATCCACATACAGAATCAAAAACACCTTTATATCTCCATTAAAATCATCACACTGTCTCCATATCCGTAGACAGAAAACAGAGTACAAAGGGGAGTTGGTTAAAAGGAAGTCTGGCCTTCCAGACCTCTGGAGACAGACAAAAGGAGATGTTGACTAATTTAGTGGCCTCTGTCATATAAAGCCTGTTTTCAACATTATCCCGAGAGCTCAGCTAACTTATGATGTTTTCCGGATGAAAATGTCAGAGGTGCCCCTGATCAAATCCCAGCGATCGTTTCACAATCCTATTTCCTTTTAATGCAGCTACCCCCTGAGATATCACAGCAAAGATTTGTACAACCTTGGAGACAGAACAAAGTGAAGGTTGTCCACATGCCAGTGTTTTTGCCCAGAAGAACCTTACTCTAAGGGAACAGATCCAAGAGCCACTTTCTAATATCAAAAAATATACTTCAGATCCCCTTGAGATATCATAGTTAGATTACATATTACAAATAACAAACAATTTATGGAAGCCAAGGGAATATAAAATTGAGTCTTAAACCTCCTTGGTAAAATGTAATCAGCCTTGAAACCATTTGAGGTGACACTGTGGTACATGTATTTGGAATAATGAGTCATTACGGTCAATTTGTTTCCTTACTTTGGAAATGCTGACATGCAACAACTAGACTCTCCTCAGTACTTGGAGTGTTGCACAGCCGCCACTCCAGTTAGTCTGCTACCACAAAAGACTGGCTATCGGAAAAAAAGACCAATGCTCATAATTAGTGGGATGACTGGGTATCAAAACAGCCATATGACTGACTCTGACTTGAGGAAAAGTGGTCTTCTTTGACTTAGTGGTCTTCTTAATCAATACAAACAGCATTTCAACAAGACACAGATAGACTGCCCTCATTGACATTTTTTCCATGCAGTTGTCATAGGCAGAGATTGGGCCATGTGTGGTCCCAAATATATAGTATCATTTGCAATTGCATTGGACAAGTGCCACTGGTCAACTTATTTAGGCAAGTCCCTAGGGGAAAAATTGGGATGATCCAATGAGGGAAAAGCAGTCATTATGACCAGATGGCCAGCTTATACGGGTTTTTGCATGGGCAAGTTTGACTGTATGTCCAATGCTGTGTTTCCCCTATGGCTGACTGATAAGCTATATATTGAGATGATATTTCACCAACACTGTCATTTTTTTGTCCTGTTTTCCAGGCTGTTCACTTTCTGGCCATCGTGGCAGCCCACGGCTCCTCCAGCATCAACTGCCTTGTCTACGGCTTCATGAACAAGAAGTTCAAAACGTAAGGATGTCAGAAACTTTATCACCAAATTGGTCACACAAGGATTATACTACAATGTTAAACTTTATCACATAGGTACACACTCAGGGATCAAATTTTCAACAACACACCTTCATCAGGATACTTAATGACCAGTGACTTCCGAATGTAAGTAAACTCATGAGAGTTACTGTAACAGACACAGGACCTTAAAGGCGTCTCCAATTGATCAAATGTGCCAGGGAGTTTACACAAGGATTACTTTGCTTTTAAAAGATTGCTCAGACATGTGACTGTATTAAGCCCAAAGTTGTGTAATGATGTTTAAGGTTATGTTGTGTAGGCATAGACATTTTGTCTTTGTATGCATGTTTCTTTCAGTATTTTGTAGTCTACACACTTATACCATTGATAGATTTCCTTTATTACATGCAAATACCCACTTTCATTTAAGTTGTGGACCAAGAGTTACAATTAACTGATAAGCAAACTATTTTGTCATATTTTTTCAGGGCCTTCCGAAAACTGTTGGGGATGAAGCCTCTGCCGAACCATGCTGCATCGAAGAAGAAGGACACCCTGCCCCTGCCGCCCATCAGAGAGGACCCCGGTGCCAGCCCCTCCTTCTCCAGACAACGCTCTACCAACGACTCCAGCAGACTGTAAACTAACCTTCAGCCTGCTGCCTCACTCCCTAAACAATACAAACGTCATGCCAAATGCCTACTTTGGTAGGGAGAGGGTTAAGGCACTGTGACATTCCTTGTACATTTTTTTTCCAAGGATTTTTGGCAACAAAGGCCATGACAGGGCCTAGCCTCCCATGCATACACAAGCCTACTAAGCAGGCTTTTCGACTACTACATGTATGTACATTTGGATTAGATAAATTCTTGCTGTAGGACATCCTAAAAGATATACTTGAAAGCAATAAGAAAGAGTGTACAGAGGTGCATCACAGAACTGGTCCTTTTTGATCAGCAAAGACACCTAGAAAATGAAATACTGGTATTTGGCAAATTTTTGACCCAAAATATATTTTCATGTCATTACAGAAAAGAAGAATGCAGAATAAAATTTTCAAATGGCAACCCAAAGCAACAATGATCACCAATAAGTTGAAATATAGGGCTGGAAGTAAAAAAAAATGCTGCATACAAAAATAGAGGTTTAAAATCTAAGGTGACTGATTGTCTAATGAGTAACTGCTTAAGTTTTTGGAATGACTGATTATAATTTATTTATTTGCATACTCATGCCCAAAGGCTGCAGATACTGCATTTGTATAATGTTAAGTCTGAAGAGGTAAAAAGAAAATGCAGAGTCTATGATCGATTGTATCTATCTGATGTTGCCATGTACATAACTGGACGGCCTGACTTCTGCTTTTGAAACAGTGGCTAAGGAACAGTCCCACGATTTTAATGATAAGTGCCACTGGGTTTTGTGATTTTAGTATAAATGGAAGTTTTCTAGATGGTGACAGCTCAGGGAGTAGTAGTATCCAAGACCGTTTAAAAAAAAACCTAAATCTTTTTTCACTTTCATACTAAAAGAATTGATTGACAATTTTGGCCATCGATGCAGTTTGGTAAGCTGAAATTGTACATCGTAATATAACTCGTCCTAGGACTAGTTATCCAAGGGTCAAAACTTAAAATGAGAAATTTTATGGAACATTACAGGGTGATATTGAAAAAAAAAAATTTTTGACGGCTGGTTATATACTATATACTTAATTACAGGAGTTGTTTAAAGCTTCCTAGTGATGATGCCCCAACTGTGCTTGGTGGCATTGAAACTGCCCTTTGGGTTAACAAACCAGCTTTGAACAAGGATCTTTCCTGGTGGAACTAATTATGATAATTTTGCCTTGTCTTGTTGAGTATATATCTGTCATCTTTGTAGTGAAAAATGGTGGATTTTAAGTATTTCTTATGTGAATATTGACAATATCTTCTTGAAGATTATGAAAGGAACATTGAGCTAGTACTGTTTCAATGTCATCAGTTCAAGTTTTAGTGAAATGTAATTATATATAATTGATGAGTTAATGTCACCATACAGTATTAATATTAGATATATTTTGTTGTTACTACAAGTCGTGTATCTATAACTTAACTGTTTTACTGTTTGGTATCATCATAAGGCCTTACAAATTCAATCTTGTGAATGGCATCCCCTGGTGATTCTAAATATGATGCAAGATCCAGACACTTTGAGAGAAAAATCAGCTTCTTTGGCCTTGGACCATGTAAAACATATACTCATTCTTGGTCAGTAATACATCATCAAGCAATTTTTTTTTTCATTTTGAAATAGCCAACTTTAAGAGCCTTTACTTGTTTAGAAGTATTATATAGTTTACAATACCAAGACTGTCAAACAAAATGACATTCTTTTCGAAGGGGAGGCCAAAATCACTGTACCTGTAAAAAAAAAGACATTTGTGCTGCCTTATGAAGTAGATCAAGCTTTGAATTATGAAAAAAAATTCAATTATACTATAGGTGGAAAAATTCTATATTAAGGAAAGACATTTCTGTGTTTAGATTAAATTGGATGTATGACTATAAATTGTTTTATGTTTATTAGTAGTGTAAAGGAACATTTTGATGCCAATGGATATGATCATTATGTACTTGTACTTGTAAAAAAAGGTTTGTATTACTTGCTGGTATTTCAGTTGTGTAAATAACACTTTCTGCATAAATCACTATATGAGTGTTTCTGAAACACAGACAATTGGATTTCCATTGTACTTCAAATGTCATAAAATGTTTCCAACAATTTCATTGAAACTTAGTTATTGTGTACTACACACATGTAAAATAAGCCCTAGCCTCTTAACATTGTTCACTTCATTTTTAGGTGTCAATAAATTCTCAGTTAAAATCAGTTCCAGTGTTGGGTGTTTAATTCATGAGCATGAACTCACATCACACTTACTAGTTCTTCATAAATTTGCAGTTGTACTGCAATTGTACATTCAACAGTAGGGTTAACATACTGCACGACTATAGAGTATTATCTTATCTCTTAGTCTATCACAGCAAGTATACATGTATATGAGACCTTTGCACAGGTACTATTCTGTAAGTCAGTTGGAAGGCAGTAAACAGGTCCTGAGGCAAACTCAGGCTGACAGTGCAGGCTTAGCCCAGATCTTTAGAGATTACAATCACTGGCCTAGCCTTGGGCAGCTGAAGAATTGGACACAGCCCTCATGCATTTGTAAATCCATGCACATAACAGGAATGCCCATGTACTAAATTTTTTACCACAAAATGCTGAGTGCCGGTGTATTAGAATTGCACGACAAAAGAGGGTTGGGTTATATTATCAATACAGAAGCCTGTAAACAGTGCATTGAGGCAATGTCTATACAAAACTTCCAATAAATTTAAACTTTGTCGTCTGACTAATACTCCCTGTATTTGCTGATAATCACATACAGCATGTGCACTCGGTGTCATGCACAAGTAAATATTCTTACTGCAATACAGTCCTATATTATTCTACTCATATCACCATTTGATCCTAAGATTTAAAACTGTTATTTCCAAATTTACAACAATTCTGTTATACTAGTACTGTTATACATATTATGCAAATATATAAGAGATACAAGAGATAGCAGCTTAAATCACTATTAGAGAATTACACAATTGCTGGCAGGTTATATTAAAACCCTTGTCCTGCTGTGCGCAACATATGTTGCGCGGCACATACAGTACCATCTATATACATGTAGCACCCTGCATAGGTACAATTTGGGGGTATTTCTCGTGCAACAGATTACACCGCAGAGAAACGCAACGAATGCGGAAGTAACTATGCCACTGCAGGGCAAAAAAATCTTGTTTTTTTTATCTAATCAAGACATGAAAATATTGAAAAATATTGTGCCAGGAATGCCAGCAGGACAAGGGTTAAATGTACTGTGTTCATTAGACATTTCCTTATATTCTTTTCTATATATATACAACACCCTGACTTGATCATAACATACAGAAGTGTGACTCAGTCCCACTAGCAAAGTACATGCATCAGGCATGTACAGGCTGCATGTTTAGCAAGTCACACACAGAAGCTTACTATTGACTAAGTATCTAAAGTACTTACCATTCCTACATGTATTTCCTGTGGCACCATGGCATTCACTAATACCCAATAAGTTACACTACTAAAGCCCCCGAATAAATAAGCTTTAAACTATAGGATAGGGGATAGCAATTACCTGGACTGCTTGAATGGAGCGAGAATGCTTACTGATTTTTTTAAAAGAACATGACCGAGGACTGTTTTCAAGGGCATACAATGTTTCAAAACAAATTATGTTTCACACATCATATTATTCCAAATAATAAGATACAAAATACCCATGTTTCACCTGCACAATTTAGTCCTATTAGAGTCTTGAATAACATGTAGAACTGTTACTTATTGAAACTCTCCATTATAGCTATAGTATCTGTAATTTAGATGCTACATACTTCCAATTTCCTGGTGTCATATGATCACTCTGTGTTGACCTTTTCACATCAACATGCCAAATTACTGGCAATTTTGGGATAGCAAGCCAATTGGAAGGTATCATGGAAATTTACCATTTGATAATGCCTAGTGAGAGAGGAGAATTCTCCATAATGTACTACCTTCACTTCACATTGTAACAGTGAAGGTGAAGGAGACCTTGGCCATCAACTATTTTGGCAATGCATCAGGGGCAAGGCTAATCATGTAATTTAGAGTCAGTGTGCACCGAACAGTGATTGGTTACAACTGCACCGAGCCATGGAATTTTCAGGACCGTAAAATCGTATTTTTAAAAAATCTTTTCTATCTACAAATACCAGGTTGTCGGTGTATATTTTCTATTTTAGTTCTTAGAATAGTTCCAAGCTCTGGCAACATTTTAGTTGTTAGTCATGCTTAAATTGATGGATGGTGCATTTAACTACATGTAAATAGAAAATTTGCTGCTTGTGGGCAAGGAAATTACTTAACATTAATGTGCAAAACAACTGATATTGTGGGAACCCATTTGAATTGTCATGGAAGGATTTCAAGCAAGCTCAACAGAGTTAGCACTTAGCACTAATAGTAGTTGAGTGCACTAAACATGTGAAAGATAATACATGGAGAAGTTATGCCCTACATGTACATCTACCAGACTCAAGAAATCACATATTGCAATAAAAATCACATGTACAACAAAATTTGAATAATTCAACAAATAACTAAAGACAATACAAAACGATGTTGCAAAATCAAAGTTTAACTAAAACTATGTAAAATTAGGAATTACATTTAGCATTTAATCAATGAGTTATCTTCAATTGAAATAAAATGGCAACACCAAATAAATATACATTGCACTGATAATGACCTGACATATGTTTGAAGATAAAAAAACAACAACTGTGTACTAGTATTGTTAAAAGATTGAGGTAACGTGATAAACTCAACACAGAAACTTAACTTTACCTGGAATGCAAACAGACCAAATTGTCTAGAACCATTATTTACAGAATTTTCCTCTTCTCACAACTACTAAAGGCGTTCCAATGAAGTGTTTTTTCTCACAGTGCTTATCGCGTATAACAAAGCTAAAATAATCATAAAAGGCATCTTTCCTAATCATTTTGAGACAGCCACAAGCCAATCACATCTTCATTTATTCCTTGATGATTCTGATTCATGAAAGTTCTATTATCCCTACAGTTCCTGGAATGCTTGGTGACACTTTTAAAAGCTCATATCATATGTTATTGAACTTGTCACTGAATCCTATATTCTATATATAATCCTATATACGAACAGAAAAGACGCAGATGTACTGAGATATCTTCCTAATTATTTCTAAGTGTCAAAAAACGGTAGCAGCAAAATGAATCCCTATGGGTAATGGTCAAAATGTCAGCACACATACTAACCTTTAAAGTATGACTCTCGTTCGCTCCCCTTTTTAGTTGTTATAATAGCTAGTTTCTAGGTGAAAGAATTTCCAACATACTTGACATTTGTGACCAAGAGAGCATACTAAATAGTAAAAAGCTGTAGTGCAGGATGTGAGTTAATTAAAAGTGCACCATTGGCCCCTAGGAGTTCTAAGTTCTATGAGTTATCTATGGAAAGAATTAACTATCCATGAAATACTTTCATTACAGCACTCACTGAGAAACCTTTAAAGCCATTAACATTTTAGTACTTGACATTTTGCACCAACTACCATGTTTCTAAATGATATCTGAATTTTAGAAAGATTCCCTTTATCATGATTAAAATAAACAATTGAGCACAATAACATTGGTCACCATACCCTTACCCCAGCCTAACTAACTGCTCAACAGCTCATAATCTTGGTTGGGGGATTGTTGAAATTGAAAAGTCTCTATCAAAATTCCCATTTCACAATTTGGATTTTTAATTACCTATTGCAGAGAAACTTTAATTCCCATTTTAAAGGGGTTGTCATGATATTTCTGTCATAGTATATATATGGAGGTATGCAATTGCACATGGAGGTCAGTGCAGGTACTTCTGTATTACTAGTATCTGGTGCAGTTATTTTAGGTTACCACAAAACAAGGTTTGTAAGCTACTCAGATGTTTTAGGTTACATTATGCTATCATTGATAGATGTATGTTCACCTTTGACTTGAGAAGTGTTACCTGCTTAGTGTAAGTAGGCAGAAAAAAAAGATTTTGAGCACTGGGCTTTCAACACTCACTTACAAACTCTAACTTTTTAAAGCATTTTAGCTCAGTAGTTCTAAGTTTCTCAGTTTTAGTGCTTTAGTGTGTGCAGTGTGACCATATCTGAGCATCTTAGCTTGTCTTAAGTTTAGGCTTGTACAACTTGAGGAAGATACCAGGGAGGAGAGCCACCACGGCTGCTCCCAACATTTGCATTATGATCTTGGCACTAAAAACATCATCAATGGACTTTATGGTGGACAGAATTCCTCCGGTCTTGTACACAGACGAAGTTGTATGGCATCAACCCTGGTCAAAACAACAGATAATGTCAAAGATAGGTTAATATCACACAGCAGACACATTGCACTATACTATAGTACATACAACATATGGTCCACAAGGTAAAAGATTTGCAGTGCAGTGAGGGCCTCTAGAGGCTATGATGAAAACTGCACTCTTTCTGGTTGTTATGGTACTATTACGTACCGTTAAGACTTACATGTCTCAAAGCATTCTATATACTTTGAAGCACAAGTTCTATTTGAAGCAGCCAAAAATACTCACCTATTAAAACAGAGAAGAAAAATTGCACGATTGGCACGCCCACTATGGGTGAGGAGATGTTGAGGAACCAGTTGGGAGTCATCGGAAACAGTCTCAGGAACAGCAAGAGGAAAAACAGGCTGGGCAGGTTCTCTTCAACCTAGGAACAACAATTTTATCTTTCTTACATTCAAAAGTTACAGTAACATCTAGGCTATAATGAATGTCAAAAGGACCACAAGAAAAGTTGCTACAGAATGCATAACTACACATATATCTATTACAAGCACCTACATCTGGACTCTAATTTCCTACTTGTTAATCAATGTAAGACAACAAACTATCAAATAACTGCAAAGGTTCAAATGTACATGTACATGTACTAGAGAGTCACTCCAACATCAAGGTCCTACTTCAACATATTGGAAAGATTGGACCTTAGTTGTCTATTTGTATCAAAGGGGGTTCTAATAAGTTAGTAGAACCTCCTTATTGTATCTACTCTAAATGTAAGTATAAATCTCATTAAACAAAAACATTGAATCACTTACCACGGAATGCAGACTCTCTACTTTATCTGGAAAATACTTGACAACAAGTCGATGCCCGAAGGTTTTGGAGATGAGGTAGCAGCATGTGGCACCAGTGGCCGACAGAACACATACCAGGGGAAACCCAAACCAAGGACCAAACAACGCTCCTGCTAAAATATTCTAACAAAGAAAATATCATACCATCAGTACCATCAAGTAATTCATGTCAAATCATTTTAACAATAGATAAGCCCAACAACATAGAGAGTCAGATGTATTACATTGTGCAACATTATTGGGAATATTTTTGTTTTCCAAAACATGTAGTTTGCAATTGTGAACTTAACATATACATATTTTCATAAAACACAACTTAAAACATTGGCAAGATAAACATTGTTAAAACTAAGGCTCTTTTTTTCTGGAATATCAAAAAGTTATGAGCAGCTTGTACATGTAACTTATTTGAGCCCTGATCTACTTATTATCTGAGCCCTGTTCTACATTTTGTATTACTTATTTCAGCCCTGTTCTAGTCTTACTTATTCAAGCTTTGTTGTAGTTTTACTCACCAAGAAGACAGATCCGGGTATGGCCCAGGTCTGTTTGTACAGGTAGGCACTACAGAACAGGAGCCAGACGTAGTCCCAGTGGTCATGGCAGTACTTCTGCAGCAGAGCAGCCAACCAGCGCAGCTCCTCCAGGTTAGAGGGGAACTTCAGCTCAGAACTGCCAGGTCAAATACAACATGTACGCCATTGGATCATTTAGTTTCATTGTCGAGTCACACATACACACTAACAGTGGCATTGTGGTTTTGTGGTAAACATTAGATGGGTTCGAATTACTGGCAGGTCTGAAACTAGGCTGGTTGTTCTTTTGACTAGAGGGAAATGAGAAAATTAGTGTCTTTTCCTAGGGTACAACATGGAAACTTTGCTAGGGACCTATCTTTAGATTAACTCAAGAACATTCTATATAATCATGGAGGTTCAAGGATGTAAATTATGTCCTTTCTGTTAAAAGCTCATAATATTTGATCACCCCCCCCACACACACATGTACACACACACACCAAAATAAAATACTCGAGTATTTAACTTAGTTTCCTGTCAGAATTTTGTGAAAGATATCCCAAACATGCAAAAGTACCGAAGTAACGGGTTCCTTTCTCAGCACTCGGTATACAGAGGTAAGGCGGCTTCCGTCCTAGATCTCCAGTGCCGAAGTTACGTCAACACTTGGTGTCCAGTGTCGGCGGCTTCAGCACTGGAGACTCTAAATCGGCAAATCAAACCTTGTCTTTAGAAAGGATACCGAGATGCCGCCTTTGAACTCTAACACTTATATTTTTGAGATCGTACTGCCCGGGAAGCAAATTATAATCGGGACGACAAGGTTATCGGCAAGGCTCAGATCCTCACATTTTTACAGACATAGACTTGGCCTACGATATATCATATTGTACTGTACGCCGCGCGCGGCCGACGTAAGCACCAGAGGCCCAGTGCCGAAATGATTTGAGAACTCGGCTCCCAGCGCCAAGAGTCACCGAGCACTGGAACGATCCAGTGAGGAATCCGTTACTTAGGGACTTCGGCACTTGCTATCCAGTGGTGAACGGCCTCCGAGCACTGGTAGCGAGTGCCGAGTGGAATTCAACACTGGCTATCCAGTGCTGAACGGCCTCTGAGCTCTGGCAAACGAGTGCTGAGTGGAAGTTAGCACCGGAAAACGAGTGCCGAGTCAAGATTCAGCTCTTGAATTCCAGTCCTGATGGTGTTTCAGCACTGGAACAAAGCCGTTTCTGCACTAGAATTCTAGTGCGGAGCTTTCTTCCGCACAGGGCCCCGAGTGTCGACGCCACTTTCCCCGTGAGTTCCGCACTGGGGGGCCAGTGAGGAACCCGTTACTTCGGTACCCTTGCCCCAAACATACAATGTAAAGATTTTCATATCATCTCCAACAACGTATAAGTTACCTTGAGTTGTGTAAACCGTTCAGTTCACTGTCGTCCGATCGATGTTCAAGGCTGGGGAGGGCGGTGGACAGAAAGTACAGAAAACAGGACGACGCCGCGAAAATAAAAGCCACACATAGAACAGAACGCATCTTTATGGGTTGCCTAAGCTCCTCTGTGTTTTCAGAATGTCATACAATCTCTGGAATGTGAAAAAAATACCTGGAATTACGTCATTTTCATCTCGTGATTTTGGTGCCCCATTTTTTTCCTGTCGTCTGTTTTGCAAAGCATAGTGGGAAATATGATTAGAGCATCACACTTCATTTTTAGGGGTGCTTGGTGAAATTTTGTTATACGCCACTGTTTACTAGTTTATATCAAAACACAAATAGCATGATTTACTCTTCAAAATATTATATAAGTAGATTAAATAAAATCTGGTGTATACAGAGTCCCATATACTTCATCAAAGTTATTATCATAATGCCAGTTTTCTAGTCCCCTACATTTAGTGTACTCTTCCACATCGATTTGGCGGGAAACGTGGACTTTTCAAAGCTGAATTCGGTAGAAATGACAAAATCTGACAGAAAAAAATCTTTACTTCAGACTCTGTCTAGCCAAGATGGCACAGAATACAAGCGCACTTAGATGTTCTTATCCATAGTTATATTGGAGATATTGGTGCTAAAAACTTGACATCTCTTTTAGTACCATTAAAAATATACGAAAATACCCAGACGAAATGGCCTATAATAGGTTCTCTTATATACCTCCCTTACTCCTCCAAAGAAAGCATCAATCCACACAATCTTCTATAAAATACTGGTATATTGATGTAACGTTAACCTCAACAATTGTTGCCGTGATTCTCATACCATAAAACATTCCATAAACATAAGCTTACCAAGATTATCATGAAACTAACTTACAATGTAAACAAGTAGACATTAAAATACATAAAGTTACGTATTGTAAGCAGACATAAGTTAGTCCAGAGTCTTATTTACAATGCGGTTCTCTGTACAGGAATTATAACGTTAACACTCGTACTCCACTTTAAACTCCACTGCAATTAATATCTGTCCACAAAGCACAAACAAAAGAAGAATTAACATTAATACTTCAGGGTAGTATGATGAAAGTTGTTAAGCTACAGAAAGAATAATAATGGTATTTGTAGGTGGGAATAATTCTTACAACTGTCTTACAAGCCTAATTATTTCCAAAAAGTCTAGTTATCGTCCGGTTTTAACATCAGAATGTTTCTACAATGTGATAACGTGATTATCTGTTACTCTCATCTTTAACTTCCCAGTATACACATAGGAGCCTATACACATAGATAGTAATATAATGAATACACTAATGAATACTCATGGATATAAAATATAACACAAATCCATTCAAGCAAATAAGGTATTGGATTAGGTAGCACACTACACAACAAAAACTGACATTAGACTCGGTCCTATGAATTATGTAAAAAAACAATATGGAACAGCCTTTTAAGACAGTCCGACGTATAGTAAACATATTTGGGTAATCAGGTTATCAAGTCGAAAACAAGATGGCGGATGGTGAACCAGCTCAGTTGTCCTGAAGCCTCATCAGGCTAGCCAGACTAGGTCAGATTTTGTGGAGATACGGTGACACAGACAGCTGGAGAGATCATTTTTCTCTGCAGACGAATATTATCAGTTGGGGCATTACAAACAATCCCTTCGAAGATAGCCCGTTAGGCCATAGCCTTATATCTACTGAACACGTGTCTATAGGAACTAATCCATAGAGGTCCCTTATAGAGAACCATTTGAGTTATTTCAGCGAAAGTGTCTATGTAGTGATATCTTTGCCGAGAATAACTCGCACATTCCCTTTCACGTATCATTTAACCACTTAATCGGTTCCTTAAAATTGTCGGAAGGGTTGGAGATTTATCTGTAATATGGAAGGTACTCATCTTTTTATATACGGTATGTGAATTAGGTACAAAATATTTCAGCTGTTGTTGATACGCAAGTACATGGAAGCCAAGACAAAATACTAGCTACAGATACACATGAAAATATAGTCAAGAATCGCTACCACCATCCATATAACAAGGCTTAGTAAACAAATACGTTTCGCTCAACACTGATATCATATACTATCATATAATGTTACTATCCATGAACATAAATTCATAACATTACATTTATAATACAAGCTTTAAATGGCCTATAACGTTATAACCATACCGTATAGGCTCAATAACAAGGAAAAATTAGGGTATTTGGAGAAAAGATAACTGCTTTTTCTAAACGTCCATATAAGTGAAGAAACTGAAGCTTTATGCATGGTTTAATGTGTGCTAGCTTAAAGACTGGATTTTTTGCAGTGAGTTAACTGCATTCCTAAACGTCCGTATATGGATGAAGAAATAGAACCTTTATGCATGCTTTAAGGTGTGCTTAGAGACTGGATTTTGTGCAGTGAATTAACTGCGTTTTCTAAACGTCCACAAGACCAGCCAGCCCGTCTCATTGGTGGATCCACATGACAGACAGCGTGTTCCACTCCCAGGCCACCCTCTCCACCTTCCCGCTCACACAGAACAGCTTCAGGTACATCCGGGAACCCTCCTCCACCTTGTGTGAGCTGCTGAGCGCCACGCCGTCCCACATGCCCTGGGTGTTCCCGAGGACCTGGGAAACAGGAGTGTGCATCACATGAATGTAGCTAACGCAAACATGACCATTATGACTGTGAAGTATTTTCAAAATGCTGACAAACGCATGACAAATAATAATTCAGTCTATCCAGTACAGGTGACCACCTCTACACAAGGACAACCAAAATTAAATGGCCAATGTGGCTACTAGTGCTTTTTGGTGGTAGCTTAGATATTTTTCCATATTGACACAAACATTAGAATCCTCATCCTGTCCACCTGTTCTCTGTGACCACCTGTTCTCTTGGGAAGTTTGACAGTGTAATTACAATGGTGATGTTTACCATTGCTACAATAGGAACGTATTGAGCAGAATAAGTGGTATGTGTACCTGTTGTGCGACAGCTACTGCCTTTTTACTGTCCACAGTGTAGTAGAAGGCTATGAGTTTGATGTAGTCGCAGGAGTGCTGCATCTTCATGTAGAAGTTGATGTTGGCGTGTCCAGATTTCTTGAACATCAGATGACTGCCGTCCTCCAGCTCAAACACGTCTGCTCGGCTGGTGGTGATGTAGTGGAACTGTAGCTCCGTCTCGTTGTGGGACCAGTCGATGTCCGGTACCAGCTCTGCCCGGAAGGACGCCGCGAACTCAGTGGGGACCCACAGCACGTTGGCAACACCGATGCCGTTTTTGTCTTCTTCTCTCGTGGCGCCAAAGTACCTGATGCCCATAAAATGTAGGTCAGTTCATTCTGTTTTAAGCAAAAGAAAACTACTGCTCTGTTTATTCTCGCTCAAACACATTCATATATATCATGACCAGCCTCTCCAACTTTGTCCTGCAACTTGCAACATAATGCTACCCAAAACCACAGTGTGTTTGTTTAATACAGCACCAGTTACCATGGTGACAGACGTATAATCCAAGTCATTGACCTTATATGTTTGCAGAAGTAAGAGAGAATGGGCACGATCTGGTTTTGAACTTTGAGATGCTGATAAAATACAACATTGCATTCTACTTTTCTCGATGTGTACTCATAATGTAGTGATTTTTCTTTTATTTAGAGTCTACAACATTTACCACGTCTGGCATCCCAGCATTGTCTCCACATCAAAGTACAGAACCTCTCCCTCCTTGACTGGGACCACACCGGAAGCCTCGATGGTGGTGTACTTCCGGGTCACGCCCTTGTGGAACCGTTTGAAGATGGTCACGTTTTGGCTGCTTCGTTCAATCTTGGGCGACACCGTCAGACCTTGATGTGTGCAGGGCTTCTGACCGCCCAGGTTGACGGAGTAGACTGCTTGTGTGAAGGAAAACTTCACAATTCCGTCTCTGCTAAACTGGAGGGGAAAAAAGTCCAGAGCATAAAGTATGTGACAGGACAATGAGTTGTGTACATTGTACTTGTAGAATAAGGAGTTTGTACTATATATTCTCATATTTTCTTACTTGCATTAGCTCGTGTGGACAAGCTTATTTTGTATTTTGGCCCCAGTAGCTGTATATTTCACTTGATATTCTGTTGCAAAAAGGCACAGATGATGTTGTATATGACTACACTTAATGCCTCTGAAGTTTAAGCCTTGAATCATTTTCAGGAGGAATTTCTACTACTGGTTTACTTACCCTGAAGAGATGGTTGTTCAGCAACTTGACAACGAAGTTGTCCGAGGATTCTGGGTAATCGAGGAAGACCCGCCATGTTCTGTACCAGGTGTGGAGGCGGGTGTACGCACGCGCAGTAACGGCTCCAAGCTGTATGACGGAAGGCAATAACAATTAACTTTCAACTTATTATGTTCACCTTCTTCACAGAGAGAAAACATATCTTTTTTGTTCTGTTTCTTCTTTTTCTTCTTCAAAAAAGGTCAATGACCTGGACCAGACGGCTGTCACCATGGTAACTGGTGCTGGAGCAAACACCTGAGGTGTTTGATAACATTATGTAGCAAGTGTTGGACGGGCTGGTCACCATATACATGTATATGACTTCAAGGTGTTTTTAGTTTGAAAAGAATAAACAGAGTAGTAGTTTGTTGGTCCAGACTATGTGAAGGTAAATTTGGTTTTAAATGTTACTTTCCTAGTTCGCTTAAACAAAATGGATATCTTTGACCGTGTATACCAGGAAGTTGCATACGTTACCTCAGGTGACAGCCAGAGGACGCTGAGAGGCCCAGCCAGTTTGGACAGTTCCTTCAGCCTGGTGTTCCTGAGCGGGCGGACGGCTACAGACGGCAGGAAACAGAAGCGGTTCTGGATCTCCAGGGTCAGTTCACTCTTGGGTTCCAGTTGTATCGCTCCGCTCAGCAGAGCACTCTGGTACAGTTTTCCGTCCGTGTCCTGTCCGTGTAATTACTCAATTGGTAAATGATATCTAATGACATTATCACTATAGGTTGAACAAAATGGTACCTCAAAGCAGAGGACAGTCCAAAAATAGTTTCATAATAGGGTTCTGTCATGATTTTTACAGTGGTGCTAGGAGATATTCAAAACTGGCCCACACACTTAGATTTCGTGAAAGGATAAATCTCCCTTAAGCCCAGAAACATACTTTAAAGTATAGAAGCTACTATCATCTTAAAAGCCTAATACTGCTTCTACTACTGGTACTGCAACTTCTACCACTACTAGTACTACTAGTCTACGAGCAACAATATGACCAATACATAATGTCCATGTTGTAAAAAAAAACATTTTGTGTGTATGCTTTGTGTCATAAATAAAACATAGGTTTGTCCCATCTGGGTGGTAGCAAAGACAGTCAAACCAAACCGTTCATCGTGACACTTGACTGTACCTGTATCCTAGCTGACGCCATGTCCCCACTCCCCTTAGTCTTTATGGTCATCTGCACAAACTTGCGACAAGAATGCTTCATGGCAAAGTTGTAGTCCACCCACAAAATGCCTTCCTTGTTCACCTCCACCCGGTCCGTGACGTGGCCGGAGACGAAGACCTCGTTGTTGGGCGCTCCGGACTTCAGGGGAAGCTTCTGATCAAGATTTCGGTAGCTCCCCCTGGCGAGCGTGAACAGAGCAGCTTCTCTCAGACTTGGTGACGCACTACAGTAAGTGCGCCACCAAGCGTTCATTGTTTAGTTATCTGTCATCATCTGTTTAGTTATCTTAATCATACAAAGAATTTGGATCCTTAAAGTTGTATTAGCTCTACATGTAGATCTTGGCGTTCGTTAACGTCAACAAAGGTGTATTGTTCGTTTACGGTTTTCGTTTAGGCGTTTACCAGACTGATTGGTCATGTCGTGGATAGAACATGCCGCAGTATTCACACTTTCCAGGGACAACACCGGGATCTGTACCAGGAGCCGGCGGCGCAGCGTGGCTCCAGGGGCGAGAAGCGACATGGGTAAACATCGTGGGCTAGCCAACGGGAAGCCGGTTGGTAGTCAACAGAAATACGCTATCTTTCTACAGTAACGTACATGTCGTCGCAAAACGACACAGAGCGACGTCGCTTCTAAATTCCGCAAGCAACTGCTGCTGTTGAACTGACGTAAAGCAACGTTTCTGCCAGCCAGTACGGAAGGACATGACGACAGCAAATGCGATCGCTGTAGTACAAGTATCAAGAAGTGCTAAAGAAAGGTGTAAATTGAAGACACGACTGTAAGTAACATTGACAATGCTGACGACATCACTGGAAGCTGCTGGAAGACAACAACACACACAGTTGTTATCACAATCATTGATTCCCAATGTTTTCTGTACAACATGTGTCCATAACAATATGTATTAATTTTATTCATGCCTTGTTGATTATTGAAACGTAATTTCAGTTGCAATAAAAATCAAAATTGACCTGAAACATTTTCCTTTTCGTACTCCTACCTTGAGATGATTTCCTGTACGTTAAACGTGTTCCCAAACCAGAAGTAGGCGAGCGTCGAGAAGGCACTGACGGAGCAGATCTGGTCGTAGAACTCCGTGCACGGTCGGGCGATGTCGGCCGCCGACTTACACTTCGTGCACGTTCGGCACTCCTCGGTGGCGATGTCGAAGTACTCGGTCTTCTTGCAGGGGGTGAACCCCTCCACACACAGAGCGCTGCCCAGGGTGTTGACGCAGGTGGTGGGAGGGGGGCATCTGACGGTCCCCAGCGCGCACTCATTGAGGTCCTCACAGCGGACATCTCGAGCCTGTAAAAAGCGCGATGTGCAGTCGACAAACGTATGACAGACCGTAATATCGGGCAGTTTTCTGTATATAGGAAGGAGGTATCGTTTTCATGGAAGGTCTCCCATTTCAGTTAAACCACAAGACATAAACATTGGTATGAGAAGGATTTTATGTGCAACCACCGGAGTCCGGAATACTTGATCCCTTTGTGACCCTTCCTTTTATCGAACCCACCTGTTTTACAACTAACTAACAAGAGAAGTAGAGAAAGCGATTGGTCTAAAAAGTCTCTATTTGTGTTACATACGAGACATCGAAACGCTCTTCAGGCCATGAATGGCAAAAGGTATCAACGTGATCAAGCAACTCAGTTACAAGAAAACTGTTACTCAAGCAGCTGAATTAAGTTTGAAAACTGCCAGACGTTTCAAGTAGCATCTACTACTTTTCGTCAGTGACAGGTTGGTACATTTGTATCTACCTTTGTACATTGAGACACTTCCTTGAAGCCAGGTCTACATTCGCTGCAGGGCACACATCCGTACTTCCCTGAGTCGACATTGAGAGCACAGAACTGTTGGTGCTCACACTGCCCCTCACACTGGTCTGACTGTTTGATCCTGTCCATGTACGTCTGTACCCGGGATGTCTGGAGCTGTAGCAGGGAGAGCGTTAATGTTAACGTGTTGCAGAGAAGTTATCATTGCCACTGCCCAATGGTCAATGTCTATACTCCAATATTTACGCCTTAAACATTGGATATCTACAGCTTCATCAGCTTGACAGATGTCGTATGTACAATTGCTTCGATACTGCATGGTCCGCTAGCGCTCCAGGATGCACGACGTATTTTGGATATCTACAGATTCAGCCGGCTTGAAAGATGCCATTGCAGATCAAGACTAAGTCGACAGAGATCTGAAACCATGATTCATGCCTACATTTTATTATCGGCAAATGTAGTTGTAGCATTGCCACATCACGGTTTCACGACGTTCTGTTAGATATCAATAGGTTTTTTGAACCTGTCCGTTCAAGTTGCCTACGTCTAAGTAGCAAGACACTGACGGCCAGGCTACATTGAAGGTCCTTAGAGTGCACCCACCTTGAGTAGTTCCTCCATGTCTCCGTACAGAGTCTTGAGTTTAGCCTTCCTCTCCAGGATGGAGCTCTGCTGCTGGTTGATCTGGTCGTGCTGCTGCAGCCACGCCAGCTGCTCACCGATTATCTCCTCCTTACCCTCCTGGATCTGCAGGGGGGGATTTCATTATCACGTTTGTGTGGAAGGTTATGTTTTCAGTAGCGTTAGGTGTGAGGCGGGCGGGGAGGATGATAACTCAATAAGCTATGGATGGACTGTCATGAAATTCGGTACGTAGGTGGGTCTTCATCATCTATCGATGATGCCATCTTCGGCACTCTTTTAGTGGCGATAGTTAGGTTTTGGGCCCCCTGATGTATTTCCTTGATACTGCAGCAGGACTTCCTATCGAAATTGAGGGTGTCATGAAAGATGGGTTTTCTTCAATGGGACCCGCAGCATTATAGTTGTTGCTCTAGCGATTGATGAGCATTTAGGATAAAACATTTACATTAATGATTACAGAACATGCTGAATGTCCAGATGTTGACCGTGTTCCAGATCAGCAGACTTGTTTTCACTTACCACTTCCGCCTTCTTCTCGTCGCTTTGCGGCATCTGGATGATCAGGTGACTGGCGAAGGCAGCGGCGGCCCGTGTCCAGTTCCCGCCGGTCTTTTCTGTTTGGGAACACGGAGTAACATCAACGAACTTAGTCCACGCACAATATTGGGCTGGTTGCCTATGCATCCTTATACACCTTGCGAAAATGTACCATCCACAATCGTCCCAACTCTCTCTCTACTCCCCTTTCTATCTCCTCTTTCTTTCACTCTCTTTCATCCCAATTTAACCCCAATTCGGAAACACTGATTTCCCAACAACCCAAACATACGTAAAGAAGATTGAAAACGAATACTCACCAATAGATATGAGAGTAAACATCATTTATTACATCTCCGAGGGACAATGGAATACACACGTACATATTCTAATGATTTGCATGCTTAAACATGAGTATCAAAAACATAGAAAACTGAAGCATACAGTGTCACGTGAATAACATTTTATGGTTTGATGCAGATGTCTGATATATTGCTAGCGGGTGGATGCAAAGAACTAAATTAAAAAGCACTAAAGCTATGTGGCAACCTACGTTTGCTGACTTGGAAAAAAAATCTCTCTTCTCCGACACAAATGAAGTCGTCTGTAAAACTGTTATAACTTATCTAATGGCTGTCGAAATTTTTATATTTTTTATAATCACAATCGCCAACATTCACATGATACTATAGGTTTACATATACGCGAGAACTACGATATGGATTCCTCAATATATGATTATATGGAATAGTGTAAAAATACGGGGTTAGTTTTCGTACATATATGTATATTGAGTGGTGAGATTGACGGCTATACGCTGCGCCAGTTAGTGCTTAATAGCCTTATGTACAAACTTAGCATCTAAACCTTTCTTTCTTTCTTTAAAGATAATTCTCCTCCAACATTTACGAAACAATTTAAGATCCACAACCGTATGGGGCCTCAGCATTATGTAAAATATGATGTCAATATTATATTTTATACACTCGCTTAATTCAATGTGTACCAAGTTAAAGTTTTATACAAAACTAGCAACTTTTGGCACATTAGTTGCAAAAACTATAACATATAACTGTTGTTAACTTGCTAACTGTAATGATACTATAAAAGAAATGATACTATTATTAAGGAAATGATGTACAATTGGTGGGTATAAAAATCCTTACAAAACACTCAGTATTCCATACCTTTTATATCCTAGCGCTCCTTGTGTATTGAATTTCATAGCTCGTTAGATATTTGTCAATACCACTAATATATTTACGAAGTACATGTATCACTTATTCCATTACAATTAAGTATAACTTACTTAAAATACTATCGAGGTAAATTGTTAAACACCTTTTAGTTTCTTTTTCAAATACCCAAAAGTATAATCAACTTTTACTTCCAAGATTTTCTGTTCTAGTGCTTAAAGTAAATATAAAAGCAAGAAATTTGCTGACAAGATGTACTGTTTGTCTAAAATAATTCCTTTTGAAGTGTAAGCTACTCCTAGCGACGATGTAGCTATTTACTCTATAGAAGCTAGCAGTAGGGGAACTTGTTCCAACAAATAAGCACTGCATATATGCTGAAGTACAATGTCCACTGCAGTCTTTATGCACACATTAAACTATGCATAAAGATGCGTTTCTTCACTTGCATGTACCTTTACACATACTTTAAGGTGTGCTCAAAGATAGGATTTCGTGCAGTGACGTTGCTGCAATGGTTATAACTGGTACAAGTTCTCCTTCGACAGCGTTCACTTCTGCTACTTATAGCCTGAAGACTTTAACAGCTTGCTACAGCACTGAGACACGCTCATGGTTTGACCCAGAGGATGTAGAGGGTGCTCCACTCCTCCTCGGCCACCTTGTTAATCCTGCCCCGCTTGCACGACATCTCCAGATACACCTGCGGATCCGCCTCCACGGCGTACGATCCCGACATGCTCATCCCGTCCCAGGATGCATCGGTGCGGCCCAGGACCTGTTTAAGACGATGGGAGCCGGTGTCTGTCCGACGGAGCCGACGTAGTACGCCGTGAGCTGCGCGTAGTCGCACGAGTGGATCATCCTCTGGTGGTAGTTGATGTTGATCCTGCCCGGCTTCTGGAACTTGATGAAGCCGTTGCTCATCATGCGGATGACGTCCTTCCGGGTGTTCTGCGTCTCCTTGAACTCCAAGACGCGAGCCTGGGCGCCGTACAGGGATCTCGTCTTGGAGAGCGTCGCCGCGAACGCCGCGCTGTGCTCGTGCGGGAGCCAGAGCATGTTCAGCACGCCGACCGCGCTTCTGTCGCCGTAGAACCTCGTCTGGCAGTTCTGCGGGCTGTTGATCTGGAACACCAAGGCTCCGTTGGCGTCAACCGGCCACACTCCGGAGATGGAGATGGATGTATCCCTCCGCGTGATGCCGTTCTTGTACCGCCGGGACAGCAGGACTTCCGTGTCGTTTACCAGGTACCTGGGCACGACTGAGAAGCCGTCCTTCTGGCACTGCTCCCCGATGGAGTAGATGGCCTGGTTGTAGGTGAACTTGACGACTCCTGCCTCTCCAAACGTGAACCTGCGGTTGTTGTTCAAGTTGATGATGAACGGGTCCGTCGTTTTGGCATGTTCAAACAGAGACACCCATTTGGAGTGGTAGGTTGTGAGCCTGGTACGAGCCGTCATTGTCACTGCTCCCATTTCGTTACTGAGCCACAAGACGCTGAGCGGGCCGGAGAGAGAGTCATCAGCCACCGCCTTGAGGCGGGTCTGGTGCCCGGCGAAGTGGTTGGGGAAGCAGTAGCGGTTGTTGCTCTTCAGCTCCAAGCGGACGTGCTCGTTCTCTTCTGCCACCATGCAGGCGCCCATCGAGGCGCCGTGGTACACATCGTCCTGCGCCTCCTCAACTCTAGCCCCGCTCAGACCCAGCTTCATCTCCGGCGACTTCAGTGTCATCTGGATGTAGTTGATGCAGGAGTGCTTGACGGCGAAGTTGTAGTCTATCCACAGGACGCCAGGTTTCCGCGCGGACAGACTGTAGGAGTCCGAGGCGACGGAGAACGTGTCGTTAGACGTGGTGAGGGAGCGGAGAGGGAGGGTGATGCCGGCCATCATGTACTGATCGGGGTTGATGTGGGTGGTGTTCTTGATGTTCCCGCGCCACAGGTCGGACATGTGCTTCACCACGGACGGGAAACACACCGCGTCAGCGAAGGCCGAGCACGGCGTCATCACGTCGTACTTGTGCCTACACTGCGTGCAGGGTTCGCACTGGGTGGTTCCGATGTTGAAGAAGTACTCCTTTGTGCAGGTGGACAGCTCTCCGATGCAGAGGAATCCACCAGGCGTGTTGACACACTTCTCCGGCATGGGGCAGGCCGACGCGCTCTGCGAACACTCGTCGATATCCTCGCACTCGGCGTCCTTGGTTCGGGTGCACTCGGCTTTTACCCGGTATCCTTTGGGACATTTCCGGCAGGGGAAACAATATGGCGGGTCAATATCCGTCGAGCAGTACTCGTTGAAGCCACACGTCTGGCAGACGTCCATGCTGGACGACTTTTCCATGAAGGTCACCACTTCCTTCTGCTGCTCGTTTAGCTCTTCCTGCTGGTTGATGAGAGTAGACTGTTGGAAAGTTAGAGTGTCCTGTTGTTCAATAAGAATGGCTTGCTGCTGGAGAAGCATTGCCTGCTGTTCCTTCAACAGCTCCTGATCTCTCTGTGGGAGGTCGTAGTCCACGAATCTGTACCTGGTTTCCTTGGCTGATTTTAGCTCCTTCTCTGTAATGTAACAAAACATTTCGACGTCAACATAGATCGCTTGCACTATATAACAAATTGTAGTCAACCAATGCACAGTCCCATGCAGTTGCAATCTTCAAGAAAATTGGAATTCCGTATCATAAGATGTTTCATTACAAACATTTCTACAACAGTTACTTGAAGAATTTATTGCTCTATCTAGCAAAAGCATAAGATTTAGTGGACGATGAAACGGGTGAATTCATTGGAATATCTTTGTCCTTTTGTATGTATTCAGGGCGTTTTAGGATCATAGACCAGTTCTTGTTTTTCATTCCATGTTGTTATGTTCATGCAAAAATTTAGAACTGGATAATTACCTTGTTTGTTTGCGTTAAGGGCCCTCCTCCTCCCCATTTAAACAGCGTCTCCCCTATCGCCAAAACAGGAAAAAGGTCCAAAGAGCAACGAAAATGTAAAAAGACACCTGTTTTACGCTACGCGAGTCGCCCGTAGCTAGAAAACAGGCAGATACATTTCCACCAGGACGCGACATGGGTGACGACCACTCTTAGGCTTTGCAAGGTTTTCGATTGCCCAATGACAATCCTTGTACGTGGCCAATAGATTATGCCTCACTTGTTATTACGTTTATTGCATGAACAGACAAGTCAGCTACAGCAATTGTCCACTAAATCTTATGACATTTTCTTCACCAAAACATTGATTCATGTACAATACAGTCAAACCTGTACACGGGACCACCTATACCTAGGCCACCTGTCCTATGTGGCCTTTTCCCATTGAAACAAGCATTACGAATTCACCTGTCTACGTAGACCAGATTTTATCGGTCCCCTGGGTGGTCTTCTTGTGCAGTTTTGGCTGTAATTTTTATATCATACAAAGCAGCTTCATACATGTATTATCTGAGGCATGTACATGACGTCACGCACCTGGGAAGTCCTTGTCGTCACTCATGACGTCACACTGCAGAACCACGTGATCCTCCTCCCCGGGCAGCTCGCCCGTCACGCCGCTCAGGGTGATCCTGTTAGCGTCATCCAGGAACCCGGCCAGCTCCCCGTCCAGCCCCGCGAACAGGTCCTCCTCCGCTAACGTCTGGACTGCAGCCAGCACCAGCATCAGGAGTACTCTCGCCATGTTTGGTCTCTGCGATGGAGAAAAAACAGTTGATGTTAGGAAGACCTAAAGCTTTTGACCAGTTCTCAAGTTGAAATGAAGTGACGTCAACAACGGATCAAAGGTGCCTGGCAATCTGTATCGGCCCCCGTCTCGGTTGAGGGATGCTTTAAGAGAATATATGCCAGAATCGCAGAGAAAGAAACTGTTAGATTGCAGATCAAACGAAGAATGGCTGAGAACACGTTTTCTTGCCGCCGGCCCAGTAAGTATGGAGAGCCACAGCTGTAGCATCCCAACCTACCACACTTAGTTAGTATAGCAAAGCCTTAGAAAGCCTGGAGATCTGACAGATCTTGAATTGCAACCACTTCAGGAAGGTCATACATGTCCTACATTCCAGAGCTTCACTAAATCACCACTTACACGTCTTGTTCGTCTAACGATGACCCTGATCCTTAACCTTGACCTCATGACTTCCTGCACCTCGTGGCTACAGGAGTGATTTGTTGAGGACACATGGGACCATAATGCAGACAAGTCAGTTCTCTAACCTTGGGCGACAAGCTCCCACCATCCAGGACTAACGAACACAATTTGGACCATCTGCGGTGAGAGAGGTTGAACCTGATGCGACCTCTTCTGCCTCAAAGGCTACAGGCAATCAGGGATGTCCAACAGGTGCCACTTTAAATCACTGTTTAACTCGGACCCTTTTCGGTTCCATTTGAAATTCCAGTATATCAACGTTAAAAGAACTTTCGTGTAATTTAAGCGACAGTTGATGTAAAAGTTATGGCAGGACAATGTCATCTTGATAGAGCTTTTCCTGAGCCAGAATGGCACTACCAGTATATCAAACAGGCTATGGAAAGGAACCAACTGGTACAAGCAAAACATCAAGTACCTACTAGACAATTGCAACCTATCTCTTATGACATATGGAAGGATTCCAAGTAGACTAACTGGCCAGGTATCAACTAGACGACAGCATCTGATCAATTGGGCAACAAATCAACAAGTTAAACTTGAAAGTGCATGGCCAAGTATCAAACCACGATGGCAACGTGTCAAGTAGACGATAGATGTAGACCAGACGGGAAACTCTGGTTGTATAAAGGTCATTATGACATTCAAAGACCAGGGAAGGGCAGAGGCAAACGACTCGCGGTGTCTTTAGTAATCACATTCATGTGGCTTGAGTTGCACCATCTTCCAATCTCATAGAACCATGTCGACTTACCGTAACTAGAGTGAGCAGATACATAAACGTTTGCGTCTGTGTATTCAATTATCACTTGATATAATTTCAGCTGAACAGTTGGATTCTCAAGTGGCAGTTGCACCTGTAACGTTGCATTCATGACATTTCTTTCTAGTATTCTGTGAGACCATATTTCTTCCGCAATAGGTATCAACCATTCCTCTTCAAATTTCAACTGTCATTTGACAGACAGCACCAAGCCAAGACATGCAACTAATTTGGATTGCCACAGAATTACAAATATATCGAGGTAACTTGTCATTGTCTACCATTTTGAGACATTGTCATTGTCTAATTGATAGTTTACCATTCTCTTGTTGATACGTTGCAATTGTCTAGCAATTGCTACTGTCCATTTGATACATTGCACGTGTCTAGTTGATACATTGACATATTGTCCATTTGGTAAGCTGCCATACTCAAGATGACAAGTTGCCGCTGTCTGTTTGATGTAGTGTCATAGTACAATGGCAGCATGTCAAGTCGACAGTGCGTAAACGCTTTGAAATGTCGTTAGAAGTCCACCTGATTCTGGTTAAACCAAACTTGGAACGCTTGAGGCAGTTCGAACTGGTCTGGAGAATGAGGATGCAATTAAAAGTAAGTGGGAAATCGCCACTTCGATAGGCTGGATAGGACCTAGGGGCAAGACTTAACCGATGTTGTTGTTCTCTTTTCACTCAACCAAGAGTACGTAACGTACTTTTCATGTTGTCTGTTAAAGAATTTGATTGTAAAGTAAAGTGAAGTCAAGTCAAGTAAAGTGAAGTCAAGTCAAGTAAAACCTAATGTAGTGTTACCTCTAGCATTCTAGGGGTACCACTTCTTAGTTGGAACGTTCGCTATCATCCGATGGACATGCCCCAAGATTACCATGTTGCAACAAGTACATGGTTGTTTTGAATCTCAACAACGTTAACAAGGACATTTTGATCAAACAACCGCGTTATCTGTGAGTTGGAGCAGTGGCCAAACCACAGAAATCAAGCCCGGCCTTCACCTCATCCTTATATCCTGTTTTGGTGACCTTCTCCAGGACTTATCTTGTTAACTATGGATCATTATCAGCGGCTTTGGTTGAACAAGACAACGCTGTTGACCTTGTGATGTTCAATGATGAAGTAGAACAACAGGTGACGTTATTATAGGCATTTCTACTCCCCATAAACTTCCTTTTTCACGTTTCAAGTCAACATCCTCCATCTTCCGTTGCTGCTATGGTCCTGACATCAGGAATGTTGACATTCAAGTTGCGTGTAAAAAGTTCCTGTTGATGCGAGCAGAATCAAGTCCAGAGCCAAACACTGATCCATCCAACATGGCAAGTTTACATAGTTAAGAGAAGGTTGTCATACCCAAATCACAGTGAGCTTGAACTAGCAAAGATATTGTTGTTGTAGACTTATGCACAGGCTGCCGAGTCTCTTCCCTCCTTGCTCAGAGGACAAAAGAGACTCGGCAGCTAAAAGAGGCTTGGTAGGCCAGGCAACAGGAACAGACAAATCCAGGCTCCCATCTGGAGTTCCCGACTTCCTGCCACAGACTCCAGGACGGGATGACTCCAGCCGGGACTGTTGGCGACCTGCCGGGGTATGTGGGGTTAACACCGCCGAGATCTCAGCTTGGAATGTGGGACAAGTCCTTGGGAAGGGCCTGAACTTGGTTAGCCTGATGAAGCTAAAAGCACCAGCAAAGTGTAGCTAACAGCCGTTTGGAAACCCGAACCGTAACCCTAATCCGTGGTCCAAAATTTAGAACAATTTTCCGCTGCGTTTGCCTGAAAGTTCCTTTTAAGGTCATGGTCTACTTGTAAAGATAAAACGACAAATATAAGACTCCATCTAAGGAGGAAGATAAGCTTTTTAACTTAACCTGTCTAGCGGCGTATCAGAGACTTAATGATGCTCCAAAAATAACCCATACTAATATACATCTAAAGGCAACGGGCCAACAGTTAATTCGTTTTTAATAGTGCTGATGTTGACCGCTCTTTGGTAAGAGAGGCCCTGTGCATGTACATCTGGGATCCAACGGGCACATAAAATCACATTATATTGGTAGTAGGAAGGTACCTTTAGCTTTCGTCACTTAAACCTTTCATGTAAACCAACGCTTAGTCCACTCCAATCAACTATGATAAGCTAACATTTGGAAAGTTTAAAAGATTCAAAGTAAGACCTGGTGTAACAGTATAACAGCCGGACGACAGAATGATCATGAAAGTCCTTCGGTCACGGGAAACATGAAGCCAAAGTTACTGATAGCTGAGCTTAGGACGGTAATCTTTGTTGTGCTTGTCTCCCCTCCCCACGCACCAGAAGTCAGGCTGAAGTTTCCCAGCTGGTTCTGTCCACTTGTCCAACGTTCATCAACGTCAAGTGCAACCTGAGGTCACATGAGTGAAGGTAGGTAGAGCTTCGGGAGCGAGAACCTCCACCACTGCTGCATAGTTTTACCGATCATACACTTCTAAAGGAAGCTGCTAGCGGGATTACTCAGAACCGTCCAATGACACCCACAGATTCTGGTCTTTTCGAAAGTCTAAACCTTTTCAGGCCGGAGTCTACCTACAAGTATTACGCAATCCATTCATACCATGCCTACCTTTTTAGATGTACTGTCTAATTATAACTATTATTTTTACTAAGTAACAAAATCTTATAAGTTATTCGGCAAGGAGAATGATGCAAGACAGTGGTCAGATGTTTCTAAATTTGGACATGCTACTATCGGTTAATCACTAGACGCGATAGCCTCGTAAACAGGCCTGTCTGGCTCCTACTGAACGAGCTTCGTCATACGGTCTGCTGTCTAAAAGCATGACGACACGAGCAAGGCTAAATATACGCTGACAGTCCAATTTCACGAGTGACGTGAGACCGGGTCCCTGAGCGGACGTGCCGGCGTACATCTGGCGGAGACCGGGGGGAGATTGTCAGGTGAACTGGACGCACGTTTCGCGGGAATGTGGCCCATTGACCGTGGAGGTCGGGAGCTCTGTACCCCTGTCTGTACAGGCCATCTATCTTCTGTACTTCCTCTAACTGGGCAGTCGTTTAGGATCAGGATTGATGTCGAATAAGGCAAAGGTTAAGTTTGCTACACTGACAGGACACTTCAGACCCAGTTAAGACTTCGGTGAGACATTCTTCGACTACTGAAAGGCACGTAGGAAGGGGGCATGAAAAGAGTTGGAGGTTGGGTGCTACTGAGGTTGTTCATGTCCCTGCTTGGCTGCCATAGTCACGGGAGACATTGCCTTTTTACCTTCGCCAAGAAGGTTATGTTTTCGGTAGCGTTCGTTCAATACGATAACGCGATGGGGGAGAAAGAGAGAGAGAGAGAGATTGAGAGGGAGAGAGAGAGAGAGAGAGAGAGAGAGGGAGAAAGAGAGAGAGACGGAGGTAAAGGATCCTTGCCACTTTGCTCCCCTTTGAAATTGGAAAAACGGGGCGTTTTTAAACTCAGGTCCCGTCCGATCGCCCCAGGACTTTGTCATCGTTACCACTGACACCAGGGCCAGCTACCTTCCAACTTCAAATGAAGATCTAGAGCAGACTTGTGACCCTTCACATCTTCTCTCCCTGTCGTTCCCAGCGTCACGCGACCTTGGACCGTGCACGTGACCACCATGACATAGCTCTCGTTCCACGGGACTCAGACATGTGGTTCCAGGCTGTAGATGGTGGGTTTACGCTGAGACATGAACCGTGCCGCCACCGTATCGTGTTTGGTCGTCTGTTATGCCTCGTTGGGCCAACAGTTTTGATAACGGGATGTTTGCATCTGTCCAAGCAAATAAAAGATGAGACCAAACTTTCGCCACGAATTCAGAGAGAAGTAGAGGACACGTTTGCGTGCACCAACCGCAAGTGTTGGCTCTCTGCATCTCTACAGCAGAGCCTATGTAACAGTAAGTGGGACAAATACCGGGTAAGGTACACCCCTTACGTTAATCAAACACAAGTGTTTCTGATTTCTCGCATCCTGGCCAGAGAAATCTGAGGGCTCAGCCAGTGAGATGGTTGGCCGGATAGGACTGATGCACGTACCTAGTCTGGGTGCCAGACTGTTTCCAGGGCCTGCACAGGCCAGTTCCTCGGCTTCAGGGCTAACATGCCCCCAAAGAAATTATACCACAGCCTACCTCAGTTAGGCACTGATCCACATACTGTCTAACTTTGGGCGCCTAGCTAGTGTTCTATGGGTCTGGCATCCAGGCTAGCTATTGCCCGAAGGTCTGTCACTGCTGGACAGACGCACATCCGCCGGACGTCCACAGCATCAAACGAAACGTCTTGACATGAAGAAGTAGCAAAACGGGGTGTTCTGATGATCGTGTTGGGCAGACGGTTCCTGTATCCTCTAATAGTAATACCTTATACGGTCCATGCTGTACAATTGGAACTAAGTCAATTACAGCTGAAGTTACCAAGGTTTCTAAACCATCTGAACTCATGCCGAAGCCATGAGACTAACAACTTCAATAGAATGTTGTTCATGAAGAAGAAGCTACCATCTTTGAGGCAGGGAAAGTTTTCCATTGGTCTTTGCATTGCGGTTAATTTCCGTATACTTGGTTTGTTGACGAACACTGTTACTGTATTTATCGAGGACCTTCTCCAAACTCTCTCTGTAATTTATTACAGTTCCTGTGAGGTAAATAGTTTGACGAAAGTCTAGCGGATGGTTGACGAACACTGTTGCTGTATTTATCGCCATTTGAAGGCGTTTTGGCTAGAACCTTTCCCCCAAACCCTTACAGCTTTCTGTAATTTATCGCAGTTCCTGTGAGGTACATAGTTTGACGAAGACCACGCGCATGTTTGAGCGGGTTGTCCCGGGGTTTGAGCCCGCTGTGGCTTGAGGTCTCCCCCAGGTCTCCCCGGAACAATCCGATGTTCTGCCGGGGAAGACCGTAAATCCCGAGGGCCCATGGGGTCGGTCTAATGAAGGACTCGCCCCGCAGGACGCCCCGGCTCCTACCGTTTGACTGTCCGGCAAAAACAGGTACATAACGAGTCCTGGTCTGGTCTGGTCATTTGAAGTGTCTAACGCCCAGTCCGAGCAAAATCGACAAATAAAAAAATGACAGAAAGACATGTAAAAGTCTTTACCAAAAAAAAAAAAAAAAACGGACAGAAACCAGGCACTTATCTGCTTGGAGATTCCTTCTAGCACAAAATCCATTTTAACACGTAAAGGTTCATACACCAGTTTATTCATTTGCTTGTACCTTTACCCATGCTTTAAGCCGTCCTTGAACTTAACGATACGACTTCTTGCAGTGATTTTCACAGTTTATACGTATGTCAAAATGACTTTACAGAATGATTTACCGCCCATTAGTAGACGTACATCTATTAGATACCTAAATGAGATAATTTGGAGTTAAAGTGTTTCCAGACTGAGATCAAATGTCTCTCTGGCCTTGATCTTTGTGGGGAGGGCAGTTGTGTTTGTACAGCAATATGCCGGCTATGTAGGAATTGTGGTTTTTCCAAATTGACTTTGTCAAGCAGATTGTAACAACCGTTCTCAATCTGCTGGATACACGCACTGGCTGAGAGACATGAGAGGTTAGACGTGCGGTTCTGTTGATGGAGACTGGAGGTTTTGGGAGCGTTTGTGGCAGTATCTGCTGAGTAACCACATCCCTCACTACAATATCTAGTCTGGATGCCAGCCTACTTAGTTCTATTTAACACCTCAGTTTCGCATCCTAGTTACAAGGCAGCAGACTAAAGCCTAACACGGCTGGCGTCCAGGCTATACAAGATCCATTTTCAGGAGTGACCTCTAATCAATATGCTTTGGAGTTGTAGACCAAGACATTTTTACTTTAGAATTTACACACCAAAAATACAGTCCAGCATCTGGCGCAGACTTTCAAACAATAAACTCAACGGCAATGATTGAAACCCCGTCACAAGGAAAGAAAAACATACCGATCGCAACTGTGTCGCTGCCCTGCGCCCGAAGAACGTGCCTGCTGCTTTCAACAACTCCCGACGTCGACTGAAAACTTACTACGAGTCTCGACCACTGAGCCCGTCCCGACACAACTGTTAGACCTTAGACGTCACCAGGAAGCGAGGCAGACAGCTTCAAGGTGGCTGAAGCCGTAAGCACTTTTAACTGTCCACTGTAGCTGTCTTCTACAAGGCCAGTGATATAGATCTGTTGAGCTCAGCACACGAAGGCAACCAAATAGGACGTATAATGTTGCTCTGCCTGTTTCCTAACAGTATGAAAAATTGCCGTAAAGCCCCTGGTTGCGCCAAAACTCGTAAATCAAACCTAAATCATGCTACTTCAAATATGATCTCGCAGGTTCCTATTCCAACAGACACAAACCGTTAAAAGCAATCAAAGTCGTTAAAGTCCATTTAGAAGTCGTTAGGATCTGCCTAATGTGGTCCCAGAGGCCCCGTGTTTCCTTCCTGCTACCGTCTTTCCTCTCTGGTCTGGAGGAAAAACAAACGTTTTCCTGCATTACATCTGGACGGGTTGGAAAATTTGCCAGATTCACTCCCTTTACAGTAGTCTCTACTCAGGACGGCTGGAAAGAGTAGAAATCGGCCAAATAGAGAGATAACATGCCGAGGGAGTTGGTCCGCTAGAGAGTAAATTTTGCCGCACCAGTCTCCCGAAGCCTGGTAGAGGCTACCTTTACAGTGGTCGAATGTACAAGGTACACAAACTGACCAGCCTCACGCTATACAGACCCAGGCATGAATCATTGGCCATCGACGGACTAAACACCATTTGGAGACGTCCCTGTAGCCTGGGCAGCGTGACCGTTGGAAGTGGAGTACAAAAGCTAACAAGACTGGATTCCAGGCTAGTGATTGCAGGCCATTTTAGCCTGGTGAATCAAAGGCTCCGAATGTCTTCCTGTATCCATGGAGACCTAATTGGCATGTTTTCGAAAATCTACCAAGGAAGTTTAGCTCACCAAATACAAGGATCAACCATCGTTGTGAAAGCAACTTGACGATGCATTTCTATCTGGTAAAATTCCTCGTGACAAAAGCAGCCGCAAAAGCGAATTTCTGTGTAGTAATGATATCGTATGACTCTGCGTTTATGTAGTACTAAGTTACGATCAACCCTAAAGTTGAACCTAAAGAAGCAGTCGCAAAATCCAGGTTTACTATCGTAAAAGAATCCCAAAGAATCCTCCCCTGTTATCATAAGTAATCCAAACTTGAGAGGCTGAGAGACGGTCCGAGCAGCTGGGTACTGGCGATGACGTGCAACACGACGTCATGAAAGATTTGTTGTTGTGTTCCAAAATGAACATAGATTCAGTAGTCGTGGTTACTCACAGATCTCCAGTTTACAAAGATGACAAACTGACTGCAAGGAGACGGGTAAAACAAATAAAACTTTGAGAAACTTGTCAAAGCACGTTGCTGATGCTCTGCAGAGCGCTAATATAACACCTTGTCTGACAGTTCTGGGCGTAGTTTAGACATCATTTACCCGTTTGTTTGGGGATAGACTACCAGACTCCTGTTAGAAACCTTGTCAGGATACGAGAAATGATGACCACCGCTGACTTGTGTGCGGGGGAAGGGCTTTGAAAACTAAAAGATCGCTATGATGGATAAACAACACTTGAGTTGCAAACGATCTCCTGCATCTAGTGACTTTGTTTTGTTAGGGAGACCTCATCAGGGAACGGAGAACATGCAATTGATTAGAGCCTTCTGGCGAAAAACAAAAGCTCGACATAAAAGGCGAGGATGCAAAATTAAGATACAGAAAACTCTGCTTCACAGTGCACTGCAATGTGTGTACAAAATCTCTAAACGAGAGTCAGTTTTGTACGAATTTATCCATTGAAGCAATGGACAAAATAGCCCAAATGAGTAGATACACCCTTTTCTGCACTGTATCTTCCTGAGAGGGGCCTTTATCAGGACCATACGGCGGCTGAGTCGCCAGGCCAGAACCTCAGCCCGGCCAGCCCGCTCCACACGGAGACACAGACAGCTAACTCCTTTGTAGCAAAGTCTTCAAATACCTTCTCCTCCTTCGCACAAAGTTCACGACTCAACCCTGCCCTCCCCTAAACCACAGAGGTCCTTACCTTGACCAGTTGCCTCCCTCTAGTCTGCCGAGTACGCGCCAAGACACAAGACGATCCGCCGCGCTGCCACGCGAAGTAGAGAGCTGTGTAGCCTGTGCGGCTTCCGTCTCACATTCTCACGACTTTTCACTTAGCACCTTAACCCGGACCAGATGGGGAGGCGCGGGGAAAGAATGGCGGGAATAGGGCAGGTCGGCACTGCGGGCACGGCACGGATAGCCTGGAGACCAGACACTATACTATACTCCCTTCGGCTGGGGGAAGCCACAAGCCCGGATTCCAGATCTGGCTCACAGGGTCTACACGTTTAAGGCCTCGTTTAAGGTCTAACTGAGGGGAGTCTATGTAAAAATTCCTTGCAGACATCGTGGCTCCTGGAACCAAGGAGCTAGCCTGTATACTAGGCTGGTAGCCCTGGCAACGTCTGGCACCCAGGCTAGAAACGCCCCACTTCCGTGAACTCACCCCGCTCTAAAAATACACCCGACTTCCAGTCAGCGTCTCTTTGTAAATCTTCATCACTCTTTTATTTTGGTGTACCGTATCCTCCAGGCTGTGGTCAGAGCAGGTTGTATATTGTTAGACGATACGTACGAATAAAAGTTGTTTACGTGGAGGACTATTAGAGGTTGAAGGAACTGTCGTCATATCTACCCCGGAGTGAACCCACCGGATTCCTTCTCGGTGTGTCACAGTTCTACACCGTCACACTCACATGTGTTCTCACAACATCTCAGAGACCAGACAAGATCAGATAAGAGACAGTACCTTTTACCATGACGTGACAGATTGATAACTATGGCCTTGGGCTAGGCTCAGGCAGGAGCCTGAAAAGATCTGAAAAGTGTTCCTCTTGGGGTTCAAGTTAAAGACCCTTGAAGAGCCTGTTGGTTTTGTGGTCTCTCTTTCTGCCTCATTTCAAATTTAGTGTGTTTGTTTGTTTGTTTGTTTGTTTGTGTTCTTACTGTGGAGGGACAGCAAGTGGGTAGGAATTACCTAGGTACAGACCACAAAAGCTCAGACACAGGAAGTTAGGCTGAGAGGCTAGCTTCAGCAGGAAGTTGGCCTGGTAGTCTGTTAGTTACAGTGTTAGCTGGATGGCAGTTCAAAAATGCATGGGAGTTCACAATAATGAATATCGAAAGAACACGCAATTTACAAAATAAAACAATAAAAGTTCTTATCTGTACTATAAAAACGAATCAATCAAGGCGCGAACTTTCACCTTGAGCGAGTGATAAAAAATTGGACCCTGTCTTTACAGAGTCTATTATCAATTTAAGTGTGTATTGGCCCTGGGTATAGTCTGGCATCCAGGCCCTACTATCGGCCTGACCACCCTGACTTCTAGCCCCCCCCCCCCAACGCCCTGCGGCTGAAAATCAGTGGGTCACCTCACTCGACGCAACCTGTTTCTTATCCAGCCTCTTTGAAAACCCAACATCCATAAAAGGACCGTTTCTCAAGACCTTTATGATCATATCGTACTCTCCAGGCCAGAGTTCACTGACACAAGCGACGAACGGAATGTCAACTAGGCACATAAACAGAAGAAACCAATAAAATATGACCTTGAGCCGTGTGTGAAATACGAGTGCTTGATAGGGCGTGCGCGCCCCCTGTCGTAAGGCCACTGTTCTGCAGTCAACAGGTGAAACTCCCTGACCTTGAGGGTTGAGATGTAGCAGAGAACTGAAGCAAAAGTGAAAACTATCCCGGAGAGGGGCAACTACTTTTCCTGTACCCGGTATCACCAAGAGTAATGTTGTACTCACATAGGTTAATAGCAGTAACATATAACCAGATGTAGTATTGAACTGTAACGTTAACATTATACGTGAACATTAGATCTACCGGCATAATTACAATGTATTTAATGGATCTTGAACGTCCAATCCTCACTGCATAAACGTTTTGGAAAAAGTCCCAATCTAATTCTTAAGGCGACTTTACTGTTTGTTACAAAGTTACAATCCGTTTTATAGATCGTTATTATTAGTTATCTGTTCCCCAAAATTTAAACTAGTCCAAATTTAGACGAGACAAATGTAGAACACATTTTGCATGTCAAGACCACCTAGCACTGTGTGTTAGTGCTATGATTTATCGATGCATTCAAGTATAGCGGAATGGATCACAAGTCACATGCTTATCACAAAATGATAATAACACCACTGGCTAATAAATGATTACGTGTCAGTTAGATAGCCTGGGTGCCAGACTGTTGCCAGGGCCTTGCCTGCAAACAGGCCCTCCTCGGCCCCTGGGCTGTCCGCAAGGTAATTTTACCACAGACACCTGAGGTTTTCACACAATCAGTACTACACAAATGGGATGGATAACCAAAGCTACCATGTCAACGTCTGGCAGAGGAAACGACTCCGTGCGGCCTTCAAATCTTCCCCACTCAACAGAATGATGGCCTACCAAAAAGTTTTTTGAAGAGACTGGTCCAATTCGTGAGAGTTTCTCTCAGACTCCTTCCCTTCCGTGCAGGTCCTGTACGGCTGTACGATAATTGTAACCCGGTGGTGTGTTGCGTGGCTTGACAGTGTCACGCACGGAGTCCTGGCAGATGTCCCAGACTCTCACTGTCAAGATACACCTTATCAGCGCTGAAAATGTGGGCCGATATTAACCCTAAATACGTTCCAGACTCTTTGCGAGGATGTGGATGTTTGTCTTCTCAACCATGGGGAAACCGGCTATTCAGGAAACAAAACAAAATACAACGAAAGACATTTTGATTCGTCGCTAATGTGTCTTTGCAGTTTCAAGTAGGTGATGCTCTATATACATGTGCGTATCATTGGCTTGAGTCAAACGTATGGAACAGAGTATGGGACGGGTCATATCAGCAAGCAGAAGTAAGTACGTGCATGTAGATGTCCAACTAACAAAAGTTCTTATGTTGAGTTCTAGAATGATACTAGTGGCAGTGTAGTATTTAGTAGACTAGACAACATGCACAGGTTGCCCCTAGTGCAATATCGATATCGTCGACGCCGCTTGCTACTGCACTGCAGCAATACATAAATCACCATTATCGTAATTCTGTAATGTTCTCAGCATGGTGCCTGTGGATCCTGCCTTGACATTCAACTTGGAGTCATCCATGTCACGGAAACTCCTCCGGGGCGACGCAGTGAACTTTGTATTTAAAGCATCTGCTTCTGCATTATATCATGGGAAAGTCAATGCCTGTAGAGTCTTTAGGAGTAAGGAGTAGTAAGGAGTAAAGGTGGTGACTTTCCGTTGATGAAAGCCAGTCGATTCGAACCGCGACTTCTCACTAAAGTTCGATGTCGTCGGGTACACTCTTTGCACGGATCTAAATCAGTGTTTACGACCAGAAAACCTCCCGGTCCCTTAAAGCGTGTCCATGCACTTTTAAGCAACCGTCCATCACTCCACAAGCGGAGGATTCTAAATTTATTTCTTACGGTTCACGGCTATGATACGATGTTGTAACGAGATGCCAAACTTACCTTGAACTTTTGCTACAGCTTTATTTGCGGTTTGGCTCGGGCTGGCCCCCTGGTCTCTAGGGCTGTCGGTAGGTAGGTTGGTTTGGAGCCACGCTCCCAGCGCCTGATTCTTTATAGCAGGTCTCTGCGTCCTAAGTCCTGGATGGTTTCCACTAAATCATTGAGAACACGACAGACGGGAATTCCGATCCCTTGCGAGGTGAGTCCCTGCCAATGTTGTGGTGTCCCGGAAAGTGGCTCGAGAGGCTCAAGGAACAACACAGGCCATGAGGCTGGAATCGGTCCAAAGCCGTCAGGTACCTCTGGTGCCAGCCTGTATGCCAGAATCATAGCACGCTAAGCCCAGAGCTAGCCAGTGCGTTGCCTGGATGCCAGACCCATAAGACGCATACTGACGGGAGCTGTGGTATAATTTCCTTGGGGGAATGTTGGCCTTGAGCCGAGGAACTGACCTGTGTAGGCCCTGGAAAGAGTCTGGTACCCAGGCTACAGAGTCCATGGGGGAATCAAGGGACTAACTAGAGGTGATGAGGAACTCGAAGCTTGTTGTTGAGCCTCCGAGCAGTCGCAATCACGTTCGCTCATTGGTCGAGCGGCAAAATGGCTGCCTAGCAACGGCTAGTCTTGAGTCAGAAGACCCGTGCACAGTGAGACCCGCTTTTCTTTTAAGAAAAAAATTTCGACTACCAGGGGTCACTGACCATGATGTGGGTCATCGTGACTGTGGGGTCACTGACCGCATACAAGTCGTCATGGAGAGAGGAGACAGTAGTATATAACCCGTACCATCACGTGCAGGCATTTAACGGTAAATTTTGCGGCACATTCAGGGTTAAACTTGGCGTAGACAGAACCAACTAGGGCACTGGTGCAGACGAACAGGCGAGAGTTGAAGGTTACTGGGTGTCTAAGTGGAACAGGACGAGCAAGAACTTGGACCCGCGCCTCGGCGGAGTGGTTGAATGTCTGCCGACACAGTCTGACCAAGAGTGGGGGAACATCGTAACATTCTCTAACTTGTACTGCTTGGAAAAAGCAGACAGGTAGTATAATAAAGAATGTTACGATTTTGGTTCACAGTGTTTGCTTGAAGTTGAAGATCAGAAAAGCATGGTTGTGTTCCGACCTACTAGTGAATTGAAAATGAAGGCAAAGCAAGAAACGTACTTTATATATCACTGACTGATATAAAGTTAGCAATGATTTTCAAAATGACATTCAAGCCAGCATAGATCTCGTTCTCTTGTTCATTTGTTTTGATCATTCCTCTTAGTACCAACTAGTGGAGTCAGTCCTTTTGCGGTGTTCTTTTCTGTGCCTTCTCCAACTCTCCAACATTTTTTTGTGTGAGTAGTTCCAGACATCAATGAAGACTAACCTGGCAGGCGTGACAGTTCAGGCCTGATCACACCATCGTTGTACGACAGGTTTACGACAACAAATTGCGTACGTTCCTTGGACAGTCTGGGATGTGTTGTACAAAATCCAACTGTCTTGTCAAAGGTTACCGCAGGACCTTGTCAACAGTCAGTAAATTCTACGACAAAAATAAAACCGCACAATGAATGTTAATGCGGTAGTTTGCTTGGTTTAGTGGTTAGCAACCTTCTTATGTACCATGAGGCCGCGCCATAGTTGACTCCTGGTCTAGCCGTTTTGAATTACTACTGGCACGCCATTTGTCGACAAAAGTTCTACAGCCAATATCTATTTGTTGGCCAGCCTTAATAGTCTTTGTCTGACAGGGCAGCATTGAATGTACGTCACTAATAAAAGGCAGGATACTAATACGGGTTCACAGACATCCATTACAACCATTAGTATGTAATGCGCACTTCAACCGCTAGATGACACCCCTCACACGGGGGCACAGATTTGCCCCTTCAGATAGCACGAATGCCCAGGTCCGTTGTATGTGTATTACTTTACGCAAAAACATGCAAAAGTGTGGCAAACTTTCTTAAAATGTGTTTTCTTAAATTTTGGGATTAACATTATACATTTCATAGGGTGCACTGCCTTACATCCATTCTGTAGGGTCGACAAAACTTCACATCTAACCACTGTGGCATCTAACGGAACGTTCAGAAAAACAACACATGTTTTAGAAAGGGATACACTTAACGTGACTCATATGCCATTAGTTCTTATCTGTTAGTTTTTAACCTCGCTAAGGCGAGCACTAGCCTAGTCCCAACAACAGGGCCGCCCTGGCCAGAAATGTTTATGTTGTGAAGCTCGGAAACTCGGCTGATAAGCGAGGTTACAATAACAGGATCACGGCTTGTACAGGGGAAGTGTCACGGCTTGTAGATAGTGAAGAGGAAGACACCAGTTTACACGGTTTAGATACACATCAGTTGTACTGGCTCACTGACACCGTAAATATACGTTTGGTCTTGTCTCCCAATATATTGCAAATATAGCATGATAGATACTGATCACACGACAATATTTTGATATTTTGACAAGTCAAAGTTGCCCAGTTTTTATCCATCAACTGTAAAATCTATAGTCAATATTGTTTTGTAAATGTTTTGTTCCGTATCCGCTGACCTTGATGCTTTATGCCAACGTCAATGTCGGTTTCTTTGATGCTTTATGCGAACGCCGACGCCTGTTTCTAAAAGCTATCTCGTGTTATACGAAAGTTTTTACTATATCATTCTTTTACGCTGTCATTTCTTGTTTTTCTAATGAAGTTGGGCGTTTCTTGAAGTTTCTTGGAAAGTTTGGAAAAGTTTTGATCTGCCCGCCGATGTCTGCCACCTGTTGCGTCCCGCAAACGGCATGATGGGAAACACATGTCACGTGATCAAAGGTGTGGTGGAAAATCCAATATGGCGCCTTCCTGCCCACCATAATAATGCATTCGGAGGACTTTGTCGTCATTTCCTTCTCTATTTCCTTCTTCTGACGAACAATTTAGTATCACGATGTCACAGGCAGCAGTCAACACATCATCTCTACCCCTGGAGATCAGGGCCAAGCTAGCGGAGCTGGAGCTAGAGCTCTCCGAAGGTAGGGTGTTCCGATCGCCGATCGTTTTTTTTTCTCATGATCGCTCGGGCGGAAAGGGATTCTTGTTTGCCAACAAAACGGACCCTATGTTCGCTACATATCGAAGTGTGTGTTCTCCGATAGCTGGGTATAAGCCATATTCCATGGGGGTATCTTTTAGATTTCAAGCTAGCTTAAAGATAAGGCGAAATTCCTAGGTGTTTTTGTTTTAGAAACCTGTCTGTGTACGAAATCGACAGGCCGGTTTGTTAGTGAAATCGACACAGGCCGGGTAGTGACAGTCTGTGCCGGTCGGCGAGTGATCATATTTGGCCCGCCGTATTTCCGGGGTTTGTGAGGTGCCGACAGACTTTTTAGATTATCCCCAAGCTTTCTGGCTGGCCAGCGATGTCATCTCGCCAGACAGCCAAGGCTTCCTGTTATTCCCGTTTCATCTTTTTGCTGTGTCTTGGCTTTCTCGTACGCAATTCATCACAACCGTTACGTTTTGACAAGCTGACAGTTTGGCAGAATATTTCGACGTTTTATCAATTTCCCCGCAGCTTGCTTGTCATCCCTGCCGTACACCAAAGTGTCTTTCCGTGGCTGGATTACCAATGCGAGCTCTAACCTGCAATCGGCCCCGGTTTAAATCGATACCTTCCCTGAGCCGGGGAAGACAAATTACCACACAGCCTCTGGGACGACCCAAAATTGCATGAATTAAACCATAAACACCCGACTATCCAGACATCTGCGGGCTCTCATGACCAAAAAAGGCAAAACGGGGACACCAACTAACCCCAGAGGCTGACTCTGGGAGAATGTAGTCTACCTTGCTTAATTGGTTCGAGCTACTTAATCCAGATGTCAAGTGTAGTCTATTCATCTTCTTTGTAATCCCTACACACCAGTCCTTTTAATCTCAGGCTCTGTCCTCTTTTCTGATCTGCTCTGGCCACAGCGAGTCCAATTGTTTGACCAATAGGCTTGACCCCAGCTGTGGAATACTGTGTACTGCTGTTTCATTCCCAGGATTTCACTTCTCTAGTGTACAATAGTATCATGGGAGGGCTCCAAATCCACAGCTAGTCCAGGCTTTGAGGCAATAGCATGCATTAACTCGATTGAGTGCGATCGCCTGGTCGGATTACTGTACTTGATACGCTCAAGATCAATACAGCATTCAGTCCAGGGCTATACAGGCACCGTAGCCACAAAAGAAACCATCGAAATGTGGTGTGTGATTTGTAGAGTACGACGATGTATGTTTTTGAGCTGTGTCAGACCTTACGCCCCCAGGGAGGGCCAATTCCTGCTCATTGTCGCGACCAAGGCTACGGTTTGGCGCTTAACTTAATTTACTTTTGTGTAGCCTCAAGTCCAGCATAATGCTTTCTCTATAAAGCTGAAAAATCCAAGGTCAATGTTACCGATACGGCGATACCGTTCAAGTATAACATAAACAATTAGTTAAATCGCGATTCTAATCAGTGTTCTGTATAGCGTGATATATCCCTATATGACATGTACATATTTTACAGAGTTTAAAGATATCTCTGTGAGTCAGTATCAAAAATAAAAACAGGATGGTGCAGTTCCTGTACAAATTGAACTCGAGTTCAAATTCAAACACAAACACAAGGAGGGGTAATAGTCGTAGCATGACATGGCTGGTGTGTCATGGTGCGTTTGTCAGCAGCGGAATCTCAGTCGGATTAATGGCAGATTCTTCCATCACTGATGAGTTTACACTGGGTCCGCCCTGGGTCTACCCAGCATCTATGGTATGGGGGACGGTTGGGTTCAAATTCAAACAGAAAAGCATTGGGAGGGATCAGCCATTCATAAATACTGTAGCCAAGCTCCCGTGGGGTTCATTATGCATAAAATTCCATAAATGTCCTGGAGTGATTATAAATTATGCTATTGTATAATATCAGCATTAATGGGCTGGGCTGCAAAAATTTGATGCAAAACAAATGGTATGATAATGCATTTTCAAGGTATTTCTTACAAAATTTACATGAGAAATAAGAAATGATTTCCAATATAAATTCCAATATAGAATACTCATTATTTTTTTACTATTGAAGATCATTGATTCGAAAAATCTAATGCTATATTTCATGTGTATTTGTTTGCAAATACAAAGGGATATCTTTCCATAAACAGTCCAAAAAGGAGACATAATACATACAGGACCAAGAATCATTCTATATATGGTATTTCTCATATCTGGAATATGGTAATGCTTAATTGGAATATCTCAGCATGTAATTTGAATCCTGTTATTCTTTTCCATAATTAGCCTTATCAACAACTGATGTTAATCTGCCATGATAGGGTGACAAGCTATCAAGAGCCTATTAGCAGCCAGAAGAAAGGGGGTGGTCCTAATTAGCTAGATCCCAAAATAGAAAAGAAAATAGTCAAATTTGCTAAAAGTAAACCTACACCAAGAAATTAGATACAGTGTTGGAGCAATGCTAGGCCAGAACAATTGAATTTGTTGGTTCTCAAATGTAAAAGAAAGGTAACATTTTTGATGACACTATTACAGTGATGTTGCTGGTGCTACATGTACATGTATGTAGAAGTTTTGGTAATCAGATTTTTGTAGAGTCTGTATCTTTTTTGTATGTTTGGATTTGTCTACTTTCTTACAGTGTAGAATCAGCATTGTTTGGTGCTAGAAATGACTGGAGTATGCCACAGGCCCCTTATAAGGGTCCCGACCGTTTTGCTCCAGGCTAGTGCCTGTTTTCCATTTGTTACATCCAAGTGACCAAGCCAGGCACAGTTTACATGGACGGCTAATTTATGGTAGCCTTATCTCTCCCAAACGGTGTGACAACAGTCTACAAGAATGCAGCCTGCAAAATCCCTTCCAAAAGCTGTGCTGGCTCTGGCATGTGACAAATTTGACATCGCTGTAATCCAGTAGACTTGACGAGGATTGTATTTAGTGTACTAGAATTACAAGCAGTTGACCTTTGTATTTCATACGGCATACGACACTCCCTTGGTATAGCTTTGGCTTTTGTAGAAATTGGCTGGTATTAGATTTTGTTACCAGGGTCATACGAGGTCCCAGAAAGTTATAAAAAGAATTATGACTCTTATTTCACTGTTTTTAGATTCAATATACTCATATAAGGTGGTAATTATCATCCAACATGAGTAAGCTAGCAAGTAGCAGCCATGAATATGGTATATAAGATAACCTTCTGACTGCTGAGGTCCCTTCTATGCAACCAAACTTGTATCAGTTACAGCACAACACAGCTTGTGGCAGGTTAAGTTGCTTGAGAAAAAGATTAGGCCCCTTGGCTGTATCAGCTTGTTTTGCTTGTGTATGAGATCACTATCTAATCACCTGTAATTAGGCATGTTTAATTTCTAGTATTGCACAGTGTATTTGCATAAATGCCACTCAAGTTACTACTAGTGTGGAAAAATCTTGGTCTTCATTTTGTGCCTTTTGGAGGGCACATATAAATGTAAAGATAGTGAAAAGGGTTTATAGCAAATAGTATGTACTGTCAGTACAGTAGTACGTTAGGGAATGTTTGTATTCTTTTGTTAGTTGCCTGTCTGCGAGAGACAAGTGAGTAAACATACAACTGACTCAGCCAGTCACAGCTTGTGAACCATGAATGCAGGTTTTTAGCTAAGCCAATTTGTCCCTTTGTTGACACCAAAGAGAACTGAAGAACTGACTCATGCAATTTTTTTGTTCCTTTGTTTGTCAGCGAAAGATGAAACAAACAAACTGGAAGTTGCATTGTAGCTGTGACAAAATTTATCACGTTTGGGTGTAACTATAGGGGATTAGGATGTCTCTTTGAGAACTGGACAAAAGGCCTAAACCGTGTGCATTCAAAGTTACATGTATTTCAGACTAAATACCTGAAATTTAAAAGAAGTTCATGGCTCAAAATACTGGGTGACAATTGGAGCTGTGCACCTAATTTTTGACACATGCATGCACCCATGCACCTACTGCAAGCATCTTTGTCGGTTACGTTGTATGGTAAGAAGTGAGGTAATATTGTATACAGGCATACAATATATTCTTGACATTTAAGCATCAGGAAAAAACTTTTCTGTAATTACTTTTCTGAGTAAACTGTAGAATTTCAGATTCAAGATCTGAAGAGAAGGTGAAAGGTTTTCTATTAGTTTGCTAACATTCTGTTCTGTTTCATTTCATATTGTGCACCTTAAGTTTTCCTGTGCACAAAAATGAATGTCAATCCCTTATAATAGTAATAAACAAGGAATTCCCTTCTTGTGGCCAAACACGACAATAGGATGTCTGTTAGACAGGTGCTAACTGGTCTGTAGTCTCCTGAAATCCTTCCTGACAGGTACTGAGTCATGACGTTATTCCAGTCCGCCATGTTTTTGTTTATTCTTCGTGTAACTCGACAACAGTTCCCGACAGGTGGGCAGGAAATTGGCAGAATTGTAATGTAAGGCCCAGGAAGGAAAATCAGCACTGTCATTGAAAAATACCTTACGTCATCTACTACTCATGTGAAGAATTGGTAAGGGTAAATACTGGCACTATAGTCAATACTGTTGCAGAAAGATTGTCATTTCCTTTTTCCCTAAGGAGGTACAAAATAAGAGCAGAACCAGAGCGTTGAGGAAAAGGATTTCCCTCTTTTTCTACAGGAAATTTCAATTTTAAACTACCTCTCAAACTAAAAAGATGTTCTGCAGTTTGGTATTTTGAGCTGATGTCATGGTAGGTTGGTACACAATGATTTCTGTTAGGTGTTAGCATTTCTGTTACCTGAGTCAATATTTGTTTGTTGCTTCAGGTAAACCATTGCACACTTCTTGGTGAGGTAGAAAAATATGTGGTCGCAAGTGAACACAAGTAAAAAGCTGCATGTAAAGAGTAGGTTTCCATTTTAATTCTGTAAAGCAGTGTTAATTTTGTTGGGTACTTCTTTGTTAGCTCTGAGTCTCTGACCATACTAATATCCTAAACAGGTATTCTGTTTGGA